CTTTTGACAGGGTACTGAGATAATTTTCTGGGGAAATTTTATTGTCTATTGGAAAGTCAGATTTAAAGTGAGAAGCAGAAACAGTGAGAAAGATCTACTGTCTGTAGGTTCATTCTCTAAGGGGCTGCAATGGCTGGTATTGAGCTGATCCAAAGCCAGGAGCCAGGAGCTTTTTCCAGATCTCCCACATGGTGCAGTATCCCAAGGCCTTGGGCTTTCCTTGACTCTTTCCCAGGCCACAAGCAGGGAGCTGGATAGGAAGTGGAGCACCCGGGACACGAACCAGCACACATACGGGATCCCAGTACAGGCAAGGTGAGGATTTCAGCCACTAGGTTACCACACCAGGCTCCTCTGAGGAAATTAAAATCTCTTCAATGAAGGGGACTGGGACAACTGAGAGATCCACGCTCAGAGGTTGGATCCCCTGTCTCATACCCTACACACAAGGCACCCTAAATGCACCACAGATCTCCATGTAAGAGCTAAAGTGACGAAAGTCCTAGAAGAGTTTAGGAACAAATCTTTATAAACTGAGTTAGGCAATGGTTTCTCAGATGTGACACAAAAGGCACAAATGAAGAGAGAAAATATTGTTCAACAAGTCTTGCTCAAAATCAAGAACTTGGTGAGAAGACAGCCCACAGAGTGGGAGAAGATATTAGCAAATCCCAGGTTCAGCATGACGGCTCAGTGGCTAATCCTTGCCTTATAGCTGTGCCAGGATCCCACATGGGCGCATGGCAGGGGGTGGACAGCCACCCCTCTCCCATTCAGTCTGGTTGGGATGGATATGACTGCTCCTCTACTTCCTGCATGCTAGATGGAGGCCAATCCAGCCCTGGCCACTCAGAGTACAGAGGCTGCTGTCCACGTTTGGGTGTGTGACTCCATTTAGGAAAATGAGATTCAAGTCCGAGAGCTGTGCTGAAACTTGGGAAGAAGGATCCTCTATATAGTGGGGGTGCTGAAAGGAGTAAGCTGGCTGAGAGATGCGGAATGATGTGAGAACATTGCCTCAGCTTCTGGATCCAGCCTCGCCTGAAATCCAAGTACCTCTTGGTTGTTCAATGATTGTGATCCAACAGATCCCCTTCACAACATTTCTATTTTTAACATTGTCTTTTTTTTTTTTTTGAAAGGTAGAGACAAAGATCTCCCATCTCTTAGTTTACTCCCCAAGTGCCTAAAATAGTTGGGACTGGGATAAGATGAAGCCAGGAGTTCAGAACCCCATGTGGGTTTCCCTTATGGGTGGAAGGGGCCCAAGTACTCGGGCCATCCCCTGTTGCCTCCTAGGATTCGCAGTATCAGGAAGCCAGACTTGGAAGTGCAGCCAGGATTCAAACCAGGCACTCTGACATGGAATGCTGGCATCTCAACTGGCCCCATCACTGCTGGGACAAGCATCCACCCCAACTGTTTCTGAGCATCCTTGATGCCAGCTGTTAACAATCAGCTTGACACAGCTGCACGTGCTGAAGGGGAGAGGAAGCTGCAAGCCACAAGAGGCTACACCCTGCGATCTGTCATGACGACCCCAACTGCATAGCTTTCCTGGTGTCGGTTACTCCATCTGTAAATACGGTACACACTCTTGCTCCTCCAAACCCTCTCCATGTTGCTGATTCACTCGTTCCAAGCCAGAGCCCAGACCTCTCTGTAGAACTTCAGACTCAAGAATTCAGCCGTTCCCTAGGGCCTTGCAAGTAGAGTAAATCTGCTATTTTTACCCCACCACTTTTCTGTCTCATTGACCTTCCTTTCATTGTATGGTCTCTTAGGCTAAAACGGCCAACTGTCAACAGACTCTCTAGATCTTAACTGGGCACATGACTACCCTAAAGACAGGTACAATTTGACTCCTTTGCAGCTTGATGCAGTCACATGACCAAGTTCCAGCCAATGGGATGTGACTGCAAGTGAGACATGCCGCTTTTGGAATTGGCTCTTTGCACAGAGACCCCTGTATTTGGGCTAATGGGTATACAGAGTGGTGGAAGGCTGGAGAACATGCGGCCTTTAAGAGGGCATCGGCTATTCCACTCCCACTGGCTGCTGCCCCCGGCCACACAGGCTGCCAGAGTTTTAAAATTTTTCAAGAAGAGTTGGAAACCTGGATGGCTTTTGGTCTATGTCCTCTCCTGATTTTTAAATGCTGGCGACAACTTCACATTTTTCCCTAACACCCCAGAGGCCAAACAAAAATATCGGCAGGCTGAATCTGGCCGGTGGCCACCTGTTAGGAATTTCTGTTTTGATATTATTTCTCCCTTCCTTCCTTCACTTGACAAATATTTGCTCGGGCTTGCTAAGGGGGAGGTGCTGCTTTGTGGATTAAGCAGCAGACGCACCAGGAAAGAGTTCCCGTTCCTGTGCGGCTTCCCCGGCCTGACTGCTCTCACCTGTTTCTTCAAGGAGTATTTATTGGGCAATCCTGTCCATGCTTGACCAAGGAGAGTGTCGCCTTCAGGGAGACAAATGGCCAAAGAATAACCGTGATACAGAAAAAAAGCTACAGTTACAGGTGGTGGAGGGGAGCGATGATCCGAGCTCTCTTGAAGACTACATCAGAGCCAGAACAGGCACCTGACGCCGTGGTTGACACATCCTTTGCGATCCCTGCATCTCATTCCAGGGTGCTGGGGTTTCATCCCAGCTTGGCCTCTGATCCCAGCTTCCTGATAGCGTGCATGCTGGGACCATGGGTCAAGGAAACGGATTCCCTGTCACCTGCATGGAAGATGCAGGGTTAGAGTTGCTGGATCCTTGGTCTGACCGGGCCAGCTCAGATGCTCTGTGCACTCGGGGCATGAACCAGCGCATGGAAGCTCTGTCTGCCTCTCTGTCTTTGAAATGACTAACTATTAATGAAAACCTGAATGATAAGTAGGATTGAATCCAGTAAAATGACATTCTAGAATATTCTAGATGTTAGGAAGTGCTTCTGAGTGTGCACTTTCCCAGATAACTTAGCTGTTGCCGCTCCTGGTCATGCAGAGGCCCTCAATGGTGCACACCCACGGTTCCCTAACCTGAGGCTTTCTTGGGGCCTGAGGTCTAGGGGGTCACAGCCCTGGAGAAGCACTCTTCCCACGGTGCAAGGGAATTCAAGGGTAAATTCCTGCTCCCTCCCACGGGCTCCCTACCGGCTGAAAGGTCCCTCTGAGCTTGTGCCCCAGCAGTAACGGTCCCTGCAGCCCACCTGGCTTCCTTCAGTCCTTGTCTCACCTTCACCCTCGGCACCGATGTGCCCCAGGATCGCCTTCCCAGTGAATTCTCATTCCTAGCACATGTCCCTGGTCCTGCTTCAGGGATAACCCAGCAGAATCAGAGAGAACACAGCGGATGCATGTGAGGTCAGAGAACCACGCGGGGAGGGGAGTCCGAGGGGATAGGAGGGCAGTGGTGGGACCCACCCAGGAAGGGCCTCGGAGGAGGAACAGGAGCTCCCCTGGCGACTTGCTGACTTCCCCGCATGGGGGTACAGGCTCGCCTATACATCAGGGCATTCCTGCTGTTTGGGGACCCTGAAAGGAGAACTGAATGGGATCATCAGACAGGGGCCCAGGCCAGATGCGCAGGTGGAAGAAGCAGCAGGCTGGCTAGATGCGGCTGCAACGCAGGATGACACGGGCCAGGGCATATGGGACAAGGGGTCATGGGGCCTGGCAAGCAGCTCTGAGCCTTGTCCGTTTCTCATTTGTTTTCAGGAGTGTTGGTGAGACACCGATGCAAATACCATGTCCCCAAGTCCCCAGACCCCACACAACTTTACAAGGGGCCATCCCTGGCGTCTCCAGGGATAGGTAGGTGGGGTGACTTGGTGGGGAACACACTCTGTGATCCCTCTGAGATTTCCCAGCTTCTCCAAGTGGCAGCTGAATGCACCCCCATGTTCCCAGCAGCTCCCGACTCCACCACCCTTTTACCTAAACCAGCAGCCCCAAACCCCACATGGGCAACTCTCCTCCTGGCGCCCCCCACCCCACCGGGTACTGCTGGACGTGCTGACACATTCCAATGCCACAAGACGCTTCTGCACCCCCGACACCATTTTCATAATCTTTACAGCAGAGCGGCAGCCGATAAATCCATCTTGTTAATTACACACCCAGCTTGTTATAACCCCTTGAAAAAACCGCGCGCAGCTGGGAAAGCCATGAGGTGACGTCAAGCCATATTCCAGGTCTCTAAACAGAAATACTTTCCAGGCGCTGATGAGTCTCAAGGTTCCTGCCCATGTGTGGAAGCAGCTGCCCCACAGGTCAGGCATCTTCCAGGAGAGGACAAGTGGCAGTCCTCCTAAGTGCTGCCCACCTGTGCCCACGCGTCCTTGAGAGCTATCGGGGGGCACCTGCTGCGGTCTGCAGAGAAGCCTGCGCGAATCATGCAAAGAACCGGCCAAGACTGGGTTTTGCCAGTTGTTTTGCCACTGCAGGAGTGAGTCAGTGGGTTTCAACGTTCTCTTCCGTTTGCTGATCCGCTGAAAGCATTGGCACAGAATTCTAACTGGATGTTTCCCTGATATAATTTGTCCAGGGTACATTTACAAGCTATTGCTAAAGGGACATGCTGGAGTGGACAATACTGCCACCTTGTCTCAAAAAAAAAAAAAAAAAGGAACATTGAGTTTATCTGTCAGAGGTGCTAATACAACCGAGAGGAAGCAAAGTGCTTTTCCCAGGTATCTCGCCGCGATTGCTGATGCTGGCTACTGGCTTTCCCAGCTAGAGCTTCAGGCTGAAGTCTGTGCACAAGGAATGCTGAGCACTTCAAGTGTAGGAATAAAAGGCGTGGGAGATGAACGGAGGGAAAGCTAATTAAATTTTCACATGTCAAAGCATTCCTGAGTTTTTCAAATCCCAGGCTGACCCAAAGGGGCAGCTTTTGTCAAAGAAGCTGCCTCGCAAAGCAGCCCCCACAATTCCCAGGATTAACCAGCTGGTCAGCTAGATTTGAAAAAAAAAAAAAAAAGACATGACGAAGTGGATTCTTACCTTCCCGTATCTGGACGCAAAAGTCCCAGTGAGTAGGGAATGAAAAATAATTATCGTCTCATCCAAGTCCCACACGAACACACGCTGTGAGGGAAGAGAGGGAAAGAACAGAAACAAATGGGCTTGTGCACTTCTGGCTTCGTGTCTGCAGAGGTTAACACCCCAGGAGTAAGAGGAGTCTCCAGGACCACGCGATGCAGTGATGTGCTGTGACCCGCCCCCTCGGCCGCAACGGTGCAAAGCGCGTTCTGCCCAAGAGGTTCTGGGCTCCCATCAACCCCGCCGATGCCAGCACCAAGAAGCCCGTTCTTGCCTTTCACATAAAAGCTCAAAAAATGAAGCTCCATCCAAAAACAACAATAAAAAATCAAATAACTCCTCCGACATGAAACGCCACCATCTTAATTCGCCAGTTGCTCTTAACCAGGCCTGCTTTAACAAGTCTGGGATGGTCTGCTTAACTCTGAATAACGGACAGTCCTTTTATGGTTCGATACTGTCTCTTTAGCTGAGCCGTCTACAGACGGGGATCTGACCCATGGTAATCGCTTCCACCCAGAACCAAGAGAGAAGAACTCCATTGGGATTTGCCGTATGGCACGGCAGCCCACGCTTTCCCAGGTGTCTTAGCAGGAGCTGGATTACAAATGTAGCAGCTGGGACTCGAACTGGTGCCCACATGGGATGCTGGCTACACAGGTGGCAACTTAAGCCACTATACCACAACACTGGCCCCTATCCTTCCATTTAATAAGGCCATAGGGAGGTGTAGCCTTCTTTTTTCAATTCATACTGTTTAGCATTTGAAGATATTTTTTAATCCACTGACTTGCATCTTTTTATAGCTTTGGAAATTTTAATTTTCTTATATTTTCCACAGATTCCTCCCATATTTTCTACGGTTCTCTTTCCAAAGTTCCCAATGAAACCTTCTGGATTGCTGCTGAGTCTTTTGCACAGCATTTCCTGTGAGTCTGATGATCTATGCCCTAGAAAACACCTTACTCTTTCTCGCCCATTCCTTCATGTGAACTTGATTCTTGTGGTCATTTAAACATTTCCAACAATTCCATGTTTTCCCTCTTTCTTCCCCCATAACTCCCACCTCCTACTATAAGGATACAAAAATGTTTGATATTTCTGAAAAAAACAAACAAAACAAAAAAGCAAAGCAAAACCTGAATTTCTCTAAGTTCTTTCTCAAATCCTATTGCCTCTCATTTATTTATTTGGCTTGACCTTTAATTTTCACACTCCTGGTGACTGTTCTTTCAAAGAACAGAAGATCTGATTATTCCCGTAACTGGTGTTAAGGAAGGGAGTGGCTACTACTCCACTCACCCGGGCCTCATGGAAGGGCCACCTTCCAATGCTCTCTGGACACAGAACTCCTCCTGACACAGGGCAACCACCTCTACAGAGAGTGAGAAGGGAAGGCCCCAGCCAGCCAGCACAGTAGTACTTCGGGGGGAGGAGCTTCTGAAGCAATCAGCAAGGCTGAGTACTGACCGTCTTGACTCCTGGGCCCGGCTATATTTTTGCATATTGGTGCTCTAGATATACAAAGGGACTTCAAGGAGTCTGTGGAAAATGAATTAAAAGATAGGCTTATTTGGGTGTGAAAATAGGTGTGTTTCTTTGTCTTATTACAGGTGTTGACAACAATGTCTAGAAAGCAGCACTGGAAGAGGCCTTCTGAAGTCCAAACATCCCGAGTCCTAACTTACTGGGACCAAGTCTGAGCTAATTGGATTGGATCAACACATGTTTGAGTAATAGAATTAAAAATTCATCAACAAACTTTTTCCAAACTTGGCACAGGCTTCATGAAAGCATCCATTCCATGCCCTCGGAGGAAGAGGACTGCTCCTCTCCCTGTTTCTCATAGCCCTGCCCCAGCCCCAGGTTCCTAGCTAGCATTTCCTGGGCTACCACGGTTTGGGCCAGAATGGCCTCTGAACCACAGGTGGGGTCAGGGATCTTTCCATGAGCTAAAATTCAGGGCCAACAAAGACAGTCATTGTCTTGAGGTTTGTTGGCGGCCCATTGGTCACGAGATCTGGAGGCAAGAGCCAGGCCTTGGGTGCAGGTGGAAGCAAAGAGGCTGGGGTAGTGGGGGAGATGCAGAGGAGAGCTGTATCCACTCGCCAGTGCACGGGGACCTGGCAGGGGCACTGCTGCTTTAGGGGGCTCCAGCACCCTCACTGTTGTGACTCCCTTGCTGATCCCAGGGTCCTGAGATGCACCAATGTGCCCCTGCTCTTACAGCAAATTCTGCTTTTCCACTTAAGCTAGCTCATGTTGGTTTCTGGCACCTGCGGCTGCAGGATTTCAACTAAAATGTACACAGAGTTCCCTGCTACCCCACTTCTATGTAACTCCTCCCTCTTGGGATTCTGTCATCAGCAAGATGGCTGGAGAGTGAAGAGGTGGGACCCAGGCAGGGCCTGCATGCTGACATTACGCACGGGAGTGAAACACGACTCGCACCTTTCCGACTGTTCTTGCCCAGTGGTCCTTACTCTGCCATGGAGCAGATGTTTCCAGAACAGTCTCACCTAGAAGCCCTTACTTCCATGCCACAACTCTCCATCTCCTCAGCTGAATGGGAAAATGTCTCTTTATGTTCACCGTTCCCTACCAAAAGCAGAAGTCACACTGGGTGGCTGAATAGCATCCCGGCGAGTGGGAATATATATATTTTTAATTACCTATTTATTTGAATGAGTTATAGAGAGTGGGGGAGGAGGGAGACACAGAAATAGATATTCCTTCTGCTGGTTTACCACCTAGATGGACGCAATGGCCAGTGCTGAGCACCATCTGGGTCTCCCATGTGGGTGGCAGGGTCCCCAATGGTTGAGCCATCTTCTGTGGTGTTTCCCAGGCTGTAAGCAGGGAGATGGATAGGAAGTGGAGCAACCAGGACACTAACTGGCACCCATATGGGATGCCTGCCTTGCAGCTGGCCACTTTATCCACTGAACCACAACACCAGCTCCGAATGGGGGATAGTAACATCCCTAAACACGAATGAAATATTACTACTACTTTCTGTGTTTTCCATAGTTTTGCAACTCTAGGCTGGTAAGAAATCTATAGGAATTTGGGAGGACAGTCAGCAAGCACAACCCGAAGCCAGTTAGTTCTCTCCTAGCCTTCCAAGCCACAGCCTGAATCCACTGAAGGGACTGTATAGCACCTGCTCCATGAGGGAAGTAAGTGGCTTTAAGAGTGAGGGGTGATGCAAGAGCAGACTCTCAAAAAGAGAGAACAGTCCCGGGGCAGTGGGAACACCTGCTCTGCAGCAGGTGCCTGGGGTAAGGAACAGTCCCGGGGCAGTGGGAACACCTGCTCTGCAGCAGGTGCCTGGGGTAAGGAACGGTCCCGGGGCAGTGGGAACACCTGCTCTGCAGCAGGTGCCTGGGGTAAGGAACGGTCCCGGGGCAGTGGGAACACCTGCTCTGCAGCAGGTACCTGCAGGTGCCTGGGGTAAGGAGCGGCTGTTGATGTCCCTCGGGAGAATGAGCAAATGTAGAGGACAGAGTGACGCTCATCCTGACTGAGACTCTGGCCAAAAGCAGCTGCTGCAGCCGCACTGCCGGATCCAGGCTAGACAGCAGGTGCCTGGACATTCATCGTCTGGGCATCCTGGCATCCGTCCTCAGGTCTCTTGATAAGAGCATCCTGACTTGCCTTCCTCTCTGTGTGCAGTCTTAGTGGAAATGTCCAGCAAGAGGTAAGCAGGATACTCAAGCCACGCCCATGGGATGCCATCTCCCTAGAGTCTGACAGTGAGTGAGGCAGTTCTGGAATCACATATGATTCTTTCTGTGGCCAGGGCTGGCACTTGAAGGTCAAGTCACTTGAAGGTCACTGTCCCATCTCCCAGTCCTGTCTTTTTGTCTCTCTAAACTGGGTTTTATCATGTCTGGTCCATGCTCTTCTCTCCCAGTAGGTTCCTTTTTGCTTAAGTAACTAGTGCTGAATTCTGTTGTTTTCAACAAAGGATTGTAGCTAAGCCTCGAAGGTTCTTAGGCTCAGCAAGGATCCCTATGCCCAGCGTTTGCCAAGGAAACTCCCAAGAGTGGCTAGACTTTGATGAGCCATTGAAGGAACAGCAGCCAAGCCTCACCAGACACGACAGCTCTTTTTTCTGAGACCACTTGAATCCCTGGATTCTCACACAACTCCAGAAGAGCCCCAACGATGAGACAGAGGCTGCAGAGATAAAATCCCATTGGTTTTTAAGGGAATGACGAGGGTGATATTTCTTAGTGTATCTGGGTTTGTGGCCGTGCTTTTGGTTACTATGTGGGACACAACATTGCATGGGACTGTCGGTTTCTGCCCCCCGGCAGGTCACTTCCAGCTATTCATTGTTCTGGCATCCATGCTGCCCAGGGTACCGTTATACCCTCCCCCACAATGCTGTTTTGTTTTGCAGAGAGGAGGATGAATTACAATCCTGACCAATCATCCTATACTTGCTTTAGTTATAATAAAGATGGGCGCATCCCCCAAAGCGGGGGTTCTTAGCCTGGGCTGCGGATTTGGAATGGTCTGGGGACTTTTACAAATGCTCATGCTGGAGCCCTGCACATGGGGAATCTGATGGAATCAGCCTAGGGTGTGGTTTGAGAACATCATCATCGCCAGGCTCTGCATGTGGCTACCATGCGCAGCCCAGGCTGGCAAGCACCACCCGAGTCATCTGGAATCACAGCACACACACCTGAGCCAGCTGACAGATGGGTCACCTGTCACACGACAGTGACCTGGGGAACCTAGCAAATTATCCCCATCCCACAGAACCCCAAATACATCAAATGAGGGGCCAGCGCTGTGGCACAGTAGGTTACGTTGCTGTTTGATGCTAGCATCCCATATCCGAGTGCGGGGTTGAGTCCTGGCTGCAGATCAGCTTCCTGTTAATGCATAGCAGGGGTCCCTGCCACCCAGAGGGGAGACCTGGATGATGGAGTTCCTGGCTGCTAGCTGGAGCTTGGTTCAGATCGTGGCATTGCAGCCATTCGGGTAGCGTGCCACTGGGTGGAAGATTGATCTCTGTTTCTTCCTCTCGAGTAATTGATTAATCTTAACAAAATCCAAAACGATCCCTACCTCTCCCCAGAGTTTCTCCGGGTGGTCTGGCTGGGACCTGCATGTCACAAAACCACCTCACTCTGATGCTGCCAGTAGGAATGCCCAGGCCCTGCTGAAGCCACTGCCCTCCCATGTGCTCATTACCAGGGTTCTCAGAGTGTGCTCCTCCGCCCGGAGCCTCTGCAGCACACGGAAAATTTAGAAACGCACATGCCCTGCCCTGTCTACTTCACGGGGAGTGCTGGGGGCAGCAGTCCATGTGGGCACCTGCTCTCCACCCAAGTGCCTCCAACTCCACCCCAGACCTCTGCTCGGTACAGCTCCGGGGGCTTCCTCCCCCACCTGCTCAGGTAGCAGTGCCTCTCCCCACTCCCTCCCTTTATTGGTCACTGTGACCGGGCAGCCCAAAGGTCCACTTCCCCGCATGCCTGGAGGGAGCTCTGTACCCTACCAGGCATGACACTGGCTGACGTACCTCGATCTCACTGTCCCCTGTTGGGGAGGGGTCACTGCCCCTCTTAGACCGGCCCCGGAGCTTCCCGTCGGAGGCCCGGTTCGGCTTGTCTGTGTCTCCATCTTTGGCTGCTGGGGAAGGTCCGTTGTGTGTGTTGTATTCACCTGGGGGTAGGAGAAGCAAGGAGGGGACAGATGAGCAGCTTTGCTGGGCGTCTCCCCCTGGGTGGCATCATCACGCCAGTGTGTCACTTGGAAGTAGCACCCAAGGTGATTCGTCACACAGAATAACCACTCCCCACTCCCAAAAGTCGCTTAACAGGCCCACTCATGTTAGCCAGTGTCTTTCATCTACCAAACAAGTATTTGCTAAGCAGGTGCTGCTCCAGGCACGGGGAGGTGCGTTCTCATTCTCCCAGAGTTTAAATTCTGGTGAGGGGAGAGACATCAGATAAGCGAACAAGCAGACACGTGGGGTATCTGGCAGGGAGCCGTTACCCACAATTGATAAGTTGGGGTGAGGAGCTGGGAACGTGCTGTTTTATGTGGCACTGACCAGGGACAGCTTTAACGGGAGGGGACACGGAGCAGGCAGCCTTGACATGAGGGGCAACAGGGATAGCAAGTGTGGCTTTGCATTTACAACTCCCTATACCCACAGGTCCGAGGACCTCTGGACTAACCAAAGGAAGACAATATTGACCAGGGGCCTCCAAAGAGTTCATGGAAAACACACATTAGGAAAAACTATGCACAGGTTTCCAACTTTTTTTTTGCACTAAAATAAACTCATCTTTCATTTCATTTTTGCCTAGTATTCTTTCATTCACTGATTTATTTATTTCAAAATGTTTTACAGAAACAGAAAGTGAACGTACGGACAGATCTCCCACCCACCCACTGGTCCATTCCTCAAACGGCTACAATGGCTGGAGCTGGGCTGGCCTAAAGCCAGGAACTTCTTCTGGGTTTCCCGCATGAATAGGGGCCCAAGGATTTGAGCCACTCTTTGCTGCTTTCCTAGGCACATTAGCAGGAAGCTGGATTGGAAGTAGAGCAGCTAGGACTTGAACCGGCTCTCATACAGGACATTAGCGCCTCACATGGCGGGTTGATCCACAGCATCAGCCCTGCTATTGGGATTTATGTGCAACTGGGCATTAATTCTTGGACCTTGAAGAGACTCCCTGATCTCCAGAAGTAAATGAGGTGTGTGTGGTGGGTGTGTGTGGTGGAAGGCTCCTCAGGTTCTCGTCCCTGTATGGCTTGTACCACTATCTATGAGAAAAGAGTTCTAGAAGCTTCACCAGTTGGATGGTTTGCCAATTTGAGAATTAAGTGAGATTGTCTGACAGGAACCAAACAGCAGGGGCCTCGGCAGTGAGTCGCGTCCTGGCTTGACTGGACCCGCAGTCCTGTGTGGCTGAGTGGGAGGGGAAAGTGCAGGAGGGGACACATTTGCTGTTCCGCAGGTAGGGTTCCTGGGTGTGGCCCCACCAAGAGCTGCCAAGCTCACACCCTTGGCAATCGTGCAACAGCCACAACCCAGCAGAGTAGCCGCCCCCGGACTCGGACCACAAGCAGCGCTAAAGCCAGGCTATGATGGAGGCCAGAAGTTTATCCACACGGCTTCTGCTTCTTGGTCTTCATCACTGCTGGGCTTCTGGGGGACTCAGCAAGCCGACGGAGTCAGGCTTAGCAAGTTGACTTCATTTGCTCACGTGCCTGTAGGTACGGCACACAATCTGCGCCTGTACATCAGTGTGGAACCTTGGCGGATGCTCACCGCACTTCCCTACCTCTCAGCTGCTTGCTTCCGCTCCACATGCATCCCACAGACTGTGCACAAATCGCCAGCTCTTGGATCATCCAGGGGAAATGGCCTTGGGTAAAAATACTTGGCAATGGTTTCAGTTTTGTCTGTTCTGGAAGGGCCATTTCCCGCCAAATCTCAGGAGACCCCAATCTTGTTTAATATTTCTAAAACTCCTTAGCAGACTGAAGATGGAAACAGAAGAGACAGGACCCGGAGTTGCCAGGCTGGCGGGGTGCTTCCCAGCCCCCCAGCATTTGCAGAAGGTGCACTGAGGTTTTTCCAGACACTGGGCCAGCGAAGACCGTCTTGTGGAGGAAGAACTTCTCCATCCTCTGGTGTGGACGGGTAATGCCAAGATGGCTTCTCTTGATTCGCTTGCTGACTCCAGGCAACTGAGGCTTAGCTTGTTGTGATGGCAAACACGATCCGAAACTCAGCCAAATGGCAGCTACCTAACAGAGGGCCTAAAATAAGGCCGAGAGGAGCTGACAAAGCAGGGATGCCAAAACAGCATCACAAACGCAAAAAGACAGCCCCTTATCCAACTTGATATTTCAACAATGGACAGCTGGAGTCCAAGGTCGCACATGGAGGGGCAGAGGATAGAGCGATTTCTGAAAACCTTTCTTGGGGTTACATGGCTCTTTTTCTTCCTCCCTTTAATTTTTAAAAACATTTTATTTTGTTTTTATTGCAAAGCCAGATATACAGAGAGGAGGAGAGGCATAGAGAAAGATTTTCCATCTAATGATTCATTTCCCAAGTGACTTCAACCGCCGGTGCTGCGCCGGTCAGAAGCTAGAATCCAGGAATCTCTTCCAGGTCTCCCACACAGGTGCAAGGTCCCAGTGGTTTGGACCGTCTTTTCCTGCTTTACTAGGTCACAAGCAGAGAGTTGGATGGGAAGTGGAGCAGCCAGGATTAGAACCAACACCCATAAGGGATCCCAGTGTGAAAGGACTTTAACCACTACGCTATCGCACCAGGCCCTATTTTGGGTTTCATTTGCCGCCTTTTTTTCTAGTTTGTTAAGGTGGAAGGTCTTTGGTTTGCAACCTTTTTTCTTTCCTCATATAGGCATTTAGTGCCATAAATTTCCCCATAAGTACTGTTTAATGACATTCCATAAATTTTGATATGTTGTGTTTTACTTTCACTCAGTTCAAAGTACTTTTTAAATTTTCCTTTGATTGTGTCTTTGACCCATGGGTTATTTAGAAGTCTGCTTTTTAGTTCCCTAATAGTTGAGAAATTTCCAGAAGTCTTCCTTTTATACTAAACTAGTTCTACTGTTGTCAGAGAGCATACGCTGTATGCCTTGGCTCCCTTCAAATGTATGAAGCCCATTTTACGGCCCTGAACTTGAGTGTCTCCTGGCGAATGTTCTGTCTGCACTTGGAAAGCAAGCGCATTTGCTGCCGCTGGAGGAGTCTGCTGTGGACTGGTAGTCTTTCCCTTCGGAACCCCAGTTTTCCTTAGAGAACAGGACTAGAGAGTAACAGTTTCTGCATCCTTCCAGAAAACTCCAGCGCAAGGTTAGGTATTATCCATACTTAAGACTTTGAAGAACTCCAGCTCACTTCGTGTGCATGGCTTTATGTCATGCTCCTTACTCGCCTACTGCAACAGCACAGAGATCCATGTTAGATCAGATATATCAATCTTTTTCTTTTTTTTTTTAAGTTAGTTTCTTAAGAGAGAGAAAAAGAGCAAGAGCACTCCCCCATCCACTGGTTCACCCCCCACATGTCCTGAGCGGCCAGTAGAGACAGGACTTAACCTAGGCCTCCCACGTGCCTGGCAGAAACACATCTACTTGACTAATCAGCATTGCCTCCCAGGGGCCGCATTAGCAGGAAGCTGGAGACAGGAGCCAGAGCCGGAAGCCCAATGCAGAGACTCTGTCCTGGGATGTGACCCACACTTGCAACACCTGTTTCCCATCTTTCTCTCTAACAGCTGTATGGTATGTGCCAGGGGTGGGTGAATCATCAATTATTTAACCCTGTTGATATTAACATTTTTCCATGTTACTTCCAGTCTTCTGCTCTGTGGATACCACACTATCTTTCTTTTTTAAAGTTTTTATTTATTTATTTATTTATAATTGGAAAGTCAGATTTACAGAGAGAAGGAGACAGGCTGGTTTGCTACTCAAGTGGCTGTAATGGCTCGAGTTGAGCAGACCTGAAGCCAGGAACCAGGAGCTTCTGCTGGCTCTTTCAAATGGATACAGGGTCCCAAGGGTTTGGGCCATCCTCTACTGCTTTCCCAGGCCACAAGCAGGGAGCTGGGAGGGAAGTGGAGCAGCCGGGATACGAACTGGAGCTCATATGTGATTCTGGCACATGCATGGCAAGGACTCTAACCATTAGGCTATCATACTGGGCCCACCACAATATTCTTTTAACTATTCTTTTAAGTCCTTATACTTGTTTTTAGAGGTAGGAGATTTGGATTAAAGGGTACACATACTTTCAACTGTGCTAGACTTTGCTACATCACATGGGAGAGAGAAGTCTTTTCTTGAAAGAGATTAAAAAATTCTCCTGTATTCCCTGGCTTTTCATTACTTTGTAGCATCCTTAAACACTTAAAGAGAAAACATCCTTCAGGATCACTGCGATGCGCTTTTCCTCTTGAGTCAAGTCAAATGTCCACATTTTGCCCCGGACATCAAGGAACTATCCTGTTGTCCTGTGTGACTATTGGCATACCCTGACGTCCAGGGAGCACGTCCTCGGGGGAGGGCAGTTTGGGGGTGGTGGTGAGGGAGGAGGAACATCAAGGTGCTGCCTCGGGCGGAGCAGATGAGCAGCGCTGGGCGAGGAGCACATGAACCATGAGCCTCTAACTTTAGAACAGCCACTCAAGGACAGCCCAGGGAATTCCTGACGTGGAGGGAGCTTTTACAGGAAACGTCACAAGAGCGTGTGTGTGTGTGTGTGTGTGTGTGTGTGTGTGTGTGTACATGCACACATATACACGTGTGTGCACACACACACACACTCATGTGCCTTTTATCACGGACACCAGGCGGAAGAGTCCTTGGCCATAGCTGACAATTCTTTATGTCATTAGTTTTTATGTGAGCTTGTTAGACACACAGTAAAAACCATCTCAGTCACTTACTGCTGAACCTGAGAGGCAGGGATGAATGAAGGACAGCGGGAAACAATAAAGCAAAATTCCAGAGAGACTCGGGAGTTCTTCCGGCTTGCTCCCGACGGGCAGTGAGGGTGACCTTCCCGCATGCCCCAAATTCCTGAGAAGTTCACCTGGAGCTCCAGTGACATGGAGCCACCTGCTTGTCTGAATTTCCCATCAGTTTTCGTTTTACTCTTTTGCTGGAGCTAGTTGGGGGAGGCCACATTCTGAATAGCAAGATAGGTCAAGACAAGTTTGTTCAACTCCTTTTGCTTTCAAAGGGAGCCATTTGGAAGTCGTTAAATAGGCACTGCACATTCACTTCACGGTCTGTGGAAGATCACATGACCCAACTCAAGGCTTAATCCTCCACTTCTTTAACAGTTAACTTCACTCGTCCTCAGACCAAGAGTCATCAACTCAGCTCTACTGATGGGAGTGCATAAGAGCTCAAATCAAGAGCTACACCAAGGGCCTGGCATGGTGGCCCAGTGGCTGAATCTTGGCCTTGCGATTGCCAGGATCCCATATGAGTGCTGGTTTATGTGCCAGCTGCTCCTCTTCCCATCCAGCTCCTTGCTTGTGGCCTGGGAAGGCAATGCATGATGGCCCAAAGCCTTGGGACCCTGCATCCACATGGCAGGCTTAGAGGAGGTTCCCGGCTTTAGATCTGCTTGGCTCTGGCCATTACAGCCAGTTGGGGAGTGAATCAGCAGATGGAAGACCTTCCTTTCTGTCTCTCCTTCTCTCTGTAAATTTGACTTTCCAACGAAAAATAAATAAAGTATTTTTTTAAGCACTACACTGAGAACCAAAGGGGCTCTCTTCCCCATTGGTCCTGTTCTAACCATCAGCCAGCTAATATTTATTACCAAATGTCCACATACTATCATGCCAGCTTAGCTTCCACAGTTCAGCAGGTGTCAGGAACGAAGACAAATGAGGACATTTTGTTGCTGTGTTACTCAATGGAGTAAGTCCGCACTGCTGCCTCTGAGGCAGGCTGTGTGCGTGGCAGACTTGGGGATGAACATGTGCACCTGTAGGTTGCTGAGTGGGATGAACAGGGAGGTAGTAATTGATTCCTGTGATCGCAAAGGGTCTAGAACATGCAGTCTGTCACTGGCTGCCCATGACTTCGGTGGGATTCACACTGGATTGTGCATGTCGGTTGTTCTTGCTCATCCAGCGTTTCTTGTATCTCCTGGTCATAGCACTGTGGGTTTCACTGTGGAATCACTTCTCCCTCACTGTTGGGTCATGTGGTTTGGGTGAGGTTGACTCCAATTGCAGCTCTAGCCATGGGCATGAGCCCCAGCTCGACTGGCCCATCTGGACACAGAGATTGGTTCAGGGATTAAACGTGTGATCCAAGCCAGCTCAATGGGAGTTTGGACTGGGGCTTTTGCAGAAATTGACAGAAAACAGAACTCTATCTACTGCAGGGTTAAATTCTGGGCAGCTGGTAAACCCAGGAAGAAGCAGAGCCAGAGAGAAGGGAGACAGAGTCCAAACATCACCATCCCAGCCCCTTGGAACACCTGTTACCCCAGCCTGGAACCCCTGTACATCTTGGGTACACGTGTCTAAAATCTCCTGTCCTCCATCCTGTTTTTGCTTAGTTTGTATACATTTCTTAGCAGTTGAAGCAGAAGCCAGAATTTCAACTAGTATAAGGGTTTTCTAAAAGTGCTAAGGATTCTAGACCCCTGAGTCACTCTACCTAAATCCCCTCTTAGAGAGACTCAACTTGGACAGCCTCTGCCCTGCTGTATTCTAGTGGGCTTCAGATAGCATATTCTCAGCTGTGTAAGGTCAGGCAGGAGAAGGCCCCTGTTGATGGATTTCAGCTCTACCAGTCATTAGCAACTTACTTACTCTGGCTGTCCATGACAGTCGGTTGTTGTAAGAATTATAGTTCTCCTTATTACAGTTAGCAAATACGCATTTATGTGATGATGATTCTCTGCAAAGATCAAGTTTATGCTGCATTTCAATTTTCCAAACTAAGGAGACTCTGAGAAGCAGCAGGTGCCTGATAGTCACTGGTTGCTTAAGGACACAGATAAGCAGCTAGTGAAGACCCTGTGTACATGCTTGGTGTATCACGGATGGGTAGCAAACACCAGTTTCCTTTTTTTGGCGTGGGGGGCAAGGTTCCTAAATCCAAGGTCATGGCAGGGCAGCTAATGAACTGGGGCTGGCTGGCTGTGGAATCAAGAGTGTCCTTTCTATGTGGGTCAGACACACTTGGCTTCCACCAAGTGTTGTCCATTGGGAATACGGCTATAGAGGCCAAATCTTTCAGGAGAAGAGAGAAATAAGAACTTTTAGGTAAAATTGCTCATACTTATCTTAGCCAAAAGGCTGAGAAGTGACAGGTAAAGCTGTCTGACTTTCAAACACATACGCAATCACACTTACACACACACACACCAAAACATGTCTGAGGGATGCGTTCAGCCCATGGGTAGCCAGTTAATTACAATGGCATCCCACATTCCAGCCCAACCTTCCCATCCAAGTTGTGCCCGTGGCTGTGAACAACCACATGACAGTGACTGTACTTACCCGCGAGTGACTCAGAGCTCTGGCTGGGGACACTGTGCGATGCCTCCTGGAGGACGTAGGTGGACGTGGAGAGGGGCGAAGGACAGATGCCACTGGCTGGGACATAGGGAGGGTTGTAGGACGAGCTATAATACTGGGAGTACTGGCTCTGAGGGAAGCCGGGGTAGGCAGGGTAGTCCTGGGAAGGGAGAACACATCCAGGTGGTGAGCAGGGGTGGGGACGTCTGGCCGGGCTGTACCCCAGCATGCCCCTTCACTCTCTCCCCTCCACTAGAACGCATCCCCTACTCCCAGGGCCGGCACTGTCTCCACTGCAGCTTTCCAGAAGCAGATTCTGAGATAAGGATTCAAGGGTAGGTACCAGGTGTGGGTCAGGAGGGGAGTGGGAAGAGTGAAGGGATGAAGAGAAGAGACAACCCAGGGACTTCCGTACATCAAGGTGGGAGACTGGGCCTGAATGACTGCAGGGAACAGCCAGGATGGTGGAAAACCACATCTCAGGGCTACCACCCTCAAGGCACAAGGGAGCTCGGGCATCTACAACCTCACTGCAGGCTTTGAGAACTGCTCCCAGTGGATTGTGATTCCTTGGTACTGTCTGTTTTCGGTTCCAAGGAAAACCCAGGCCCAGGCATGTAGATCCTGGCAGATGAGTGCCAGCAGATAACCCCGAGGGACATGGATGTGACAGCATTTGTCCTGGTTACTGTCATAGTCCTAGCCCTAGAACAATGTCTGGCATACACAGTAACTCCACAAGTATTGGACGAGTGAATGAACCAAGGAATGAATAAAGACCACACCCACAAAATCCCATGAGATGACATGATAGTCTATGTTTATGGCACAGGTTGGTGCAAAGACAGCCCCACTGGCACTGCATTAGAGGTCTAGAATGTTCTATGAAGGAGTCATGGGGATCAAATCAATAGATGCCAACTGCCTTTGATCAAGCTAGCTCCCACAGGGGATACTGATTCACACACCCCAGTGCTTCTCATCCCCCAGAGAGCTCAGGGGAAGTGTAGCTTCCAAAGCCCAACCTCAATCACTGAATCCATTTCTAGGGAGTCTGTGTTTTTAATATGTTCTAAGGGTGAAACAGGGGCAGAGTCTCAGAGTTAAGTACTGGACATTACAAAGTACTATTGGATTTACAAATAGTATGTGTACATAGTACACTGGAAGTGAACAGGTAAAAATACTTTCTGTATTTTCCAAGTTTAAATTATATTTATATTCTTGGGTGCATTGAAGAAAAAATTATATGCTCCTAATATTTAAATATGATAAACATCCCTAAAGCCCACCTGGCTAGTTTTTTTTTGAAAAAAAAAAAAAACAGGGCCCGGCGTGGTGGTGCAAGTGGTTAAGGTCCTCGCCTTGCACGCCTGGGATCCCATATGGGCGCCGGTTCTATCCCAGCAGCCCCGCTTCCCTTCCAGCTCCCCGCCTGTGGCCTGGGAAAGCAGTCGAGGATGGCCCAAAGCTTTGGGACCCTGCATCCGCGTGGGAGACCAGGAAGAGGCTCCTGGCTTCGGATCGGCATAGCATCGGTTGTTGAGCTCATTTGGGGAGTGAATCATCGGACGGAAGATCTTCCTCTCTGTCTCTCCTCTCTGTATATCCGCCTTTCCAATAAACAAAATAATAAAAAATAAATCTTTTAAAAAAAAACAATTTATCATTTGAGAGGCAGAGTTAACACAGGAGAGGAAGAGACAGATCTTTCATCCAGTAATTCATTCCCCAAATGGTCACAATGATTAGAGCTGGACCAGGTCAAGGTCAACGTCAAGGAGCCAGGAACTCCGTCGGGGTCTCCCATGTGGGTGACAAGAAGCCAAGCAGCCATCTTTCACTGCTTTCCCAGATGCTTCAGCAGGAATCTGGGTGGGAAGTGGAGGAGCCAGGACTTGAACTGGTGCCCATATGAAATGCCAACACTGCAGGAGGCAACCTAATGTGTTACACCACAATGCTGATCCTGGGTCATCACTAGCTTGAAAGCATGTTCCCTTTTTGTTTCAGAAAAGCAGCTTAGGTTTGCAGCAAAGATATGGAGTTCCCACACAGCTGGAGGAGGTTGATTCTGAATTCAATCTCCAGGCGAAGCCAAGAGAACCCAAACCATCACCAGCACTCATCTTTACAGCATCTAATGAGCACTTATACTGTGTATCAGGCAGTAGAGATGAGCAAGCTGTCCTCCTTGGCCCTCCTTGGCCCTCGATTTGGTAAAGGAATGCATTTATTGGCCTTTCTATGGTGCAGATTCAACAGTCAATGGGTTGGGACCGGCACCATGGTATAAGTGGGCGTGGCCTTCACCTGTAGCGCTGGCATCCCATATGGATGGTAGTTCAAGAGCCGGCTGCTCCATTTCCAACCCAGTTCCCTGCTAATGTGCTTGGGAAATCAGCAGACAAGCCTGTGTCCTTGGGCCTCCTGCGCCCAGAGATGGGAGACTACAGGGAGGCTCCAGGCTGCTGATTGGCTTAACTCCAGCCCTGCAGCAGTTTGGGGAGTGAACCAGTGCATGCCAGACTGCACTCTTTGTACACTGGGTCTTTCAAAAACAAAAAAAAGCCAATGGCTGTCTGGATGTTATGGGCTCCGGTCAGGGTCCAACACTGATTCCCTGACATCTTGGACACTGCATCATGCCAGTGTCTTTGCCTGCAGGCTCCCACCTCCAGGCATCAAAGGGCTGAGCTTCTGGGTGAAGGTGGGGGATCATGCATGCCTGGGTGCTCTTGGGGTGCTCTTCTCCAGGGGAACCTCTAAGGACAGAGGTGAGAAAGCGACAGCAGGGACTCCGTCTACCTGGTGCACGCTCCCGAATCCGGCCGCATTGGTCAGTCCATTGGCTCCCTGGTAGATGCCTGCTGTGCCTGTGGAAAGGGAACAGGGTGCAGGTGAGGTTATGACTAGAGTGCGTCCTGGCAGACAAGGATGCGGTGACAAGGTGGGGGCTCTTGGAGGTCTAACAGGCTTCGACTGAACCTGCGCCTGAATCATTCTCATCTCGATTTCCTCTGTAAAGGAGGCAAATGAACAACATCTTTTTGGAAGGAGTGACATCAAATAACCTAGAGAGGGCACACAGTACAGAGTCTGGTCCCTGATGACCAGGTTGTAAAAAAACACTTTTTGAAAAAATGTTGGTAAAATACACTTGATATTTACCATCTTTACTATCTAAAGTGTGTAGTTCTGAGGCATCAAGCAGATTCACACTGAGGTACAACCACTGCCACCATCTGTCTCCAGAGCGATCTTCACCTCCCCAAACCCAAACTCTGCATCCACTAAACATCCACAGCTCCTCCCTGTGTCCCGTCCCAGACTCTGCACATCTGACTTCTCTGGTCACCTCATGGAGTGACACACACTAGGTCCTCCACGGCCAATTGTCTCCCCAAGTGTTTTCCATTTCCAATTTCTACAAGCATAGGTTAAGAGGCCCAGGGTGCCCAGCACTTGGCACCTTGAACTTTCTGGAAGGCAGCTGTCCTTATTGCTATCAGAGGAACCTCACTGTGGTTGTAAGTAGAATTTCTCTCATGACTAAGGATGCTGGGTATTTTTCATGGGTGCTTTTTTTTTTTTTTAAAGATGTATTCATTTTTATTGGAAAGGCAGATTTATAAAGAGAAGGAGAGACAGGAAGATCTTCTATCTGCTGCTTCACTGCTCAAATGGCCTCAATGGCTGTGGTGCAGCTGACCCGAAGCCAGGAGCCAGGAGTTTCTTCTGGGTCTCCCATGCAGGTGCAGGGTCCTAAAGCTTTGGGCTGTCTTTGAGTGCTTTTCCAGGGAGCTGGATGGGAAATGGAGCATTGAGGATGCGAACCAGTGCCCATATGGGATGCTGGCACTTGCAAGATGAGGATTTAGCTACTGAGCTAGAGTGCTACAAGGCCCTTTTATAGGCCTTTTACATTGGCTATTCATGCATCTTGTTTGATTCAAATCTTGTATCAATTTAAATCTTTTATCTTCTTTAAAAGTTACATTTTTTCTTATTCTTGAATCACAAGTATCATTTTTATATTCTCAGTAAACATTCTTTATATATAATTTGTGAAGACTCCCTCTCCCCCCAGCTCGTCCTTGCATTTACTTAATGGTGCCTTTGGAAAGAGGCACCGATTCTTCCTTTTATGTACCCTGTTGCTGTCCAACCTAAATATTCTTTCCCATATTTTCATCTGGAAAATTTACAGTATCAGTGCTGCTATTCAGTCCTCTGGTCCAATGTCAGTTCATCTTTGCGTACAGTGAAGATAAGGGGTTAACTAAATATTCGGCATATACAGTCGTTTCAGCTTCCCTATAAAACCTTGACTTTCTCCTGCTGAATCGCCTGTCATCCCTGCCAAAAACCTATTTGCCGTAATGTGGGGGCTCGTTTCTGGGCTCTCTCTCCTTCACTCATCTGCTCCATACAATGCTACCCTGCCTTAATGAGTGAAGTTTGCAAATCAGGTAATGTCCGCGCTCCAACTTTTGAGTTACTCTTGGCTTCCAGTCGCTTTGCATTTCCATACCAATTGTAGCACCGGCTTGCCAATTTCTGTGAAAAGCCAGCCGGGATTCTGATGGAGATTTGACTAAATCAATAGAGCTCTTCTTTCCTAAAATGAGAGCAGATAGGAAACTTGGGGCTCCAGTCTGCAAGACCAGGGACCTGGAAAGGCCTCTGTATTCGAGGCAGGGGTGTGGACAGCTGCCAGGCTTCTGGAGCAGGCTCTGATGTAACTAGATACCGCTGGGCAGAAAGGAGCTGCAGGCTCAACTGAACTGACATGACAAGCAATATGCCTCCAGAAACCCCAGGGGTCTCAAGCACTGAGGACACCCTAGGGACTCGCCTCCTGGGGCTGGGGCGGGAGGAGGTCAGAGAGCACAGAGTCCTTCAGGAACAGCCAAGGTCATGTGGGTGTTGCTGCAGCACAGGAGCTCCTATCCCAAGGAACTGCCAAGTCAGAGGGTGGCGACACCGCCATCTGGAGTGGGGCCCAGGAGTCAGCATCAACACACAACACAACACACACGACACAACCCTGGGAGTAGCCAGTGCACCGAGAAGTGAGAACACGCACCTGGGGAGACCCGGGCCCAAAGGGGAAGAGCTACGAGACTCGGCAGCAAACAGGCACCTCCCGCTACCTGCTTCGTTCCCCTCCTACAGGACGTGGCACTTGTACCCCAAAGCACGGGGTCATCCATCAGTTCAGCTGACTGAGGTGACACTGCATCAGGCAATCCTTCCTCGCACCAGGCTCGAAAGGAAGGTATAGTCACCCTTCCCACTTCCTCCATAGAGAACCCGGGACTCAGAAGGAAATGGGGCCATGGGTAAGGAGTTGGCGGGTTGGGTAATGATCTAAAAAAGAATCTTCAAGCATCAAGAAGAAAGAAAGAAAAATATGGGTAAAGCCATTTGAGATAGTGCCTCTCTGGGCGTGACACTGGCAACTCAATACATAGTTAGATTCCAATTGGTTCTGCTTGCTATCAAGTTTGGGCAGTTACTTTTTCAATTACATAAAATATTTGCATGGTTTCAAAGTCAGGTCTATCTGATAAACTATACCTATATCCAGGATGGGAACTAGGGGGCACGTGGCTTCAGAAGCCTCAGGCCCCAGTTGGAATTGTTTTGCAAACAGATCCAAGTTGGTGCTGCCAAGTTGAACACTGCCCTCTTGCATCCCTTGTTAGTGGGGTGGTTGGAGAGAGTCAAAAGTTGATGAGGAAAGTATCCGCTAAGCTGGGCACTCAGTTCGCAAGGATAAACACCACTGTCCCCAGCCCGCCCTGGGATTGGCAGGGACTGGAGTCTTGTAAATGGATGGGTGCTGTGCCCAGAGGCTTGGGGGAGGGCTCCCTCTTTCCCCAGGATCAGGGCCATCTTGGATCAGTACGGCTCATCAAGAGATACCAGGAGCCAGGACTTCAGTCTCGTTGGCAGACTCAGTCACAGTGGTTTGCAATTTTAGGTGAGAAAGAAAGCTGCTTCTTTCCTGCTGAGGAGGACATTGCATTTTGAGTCTCTGGGGAGACTCAAGAGAACTGCAGTCTTTTCTGGGTCAGCTGGTTTTCTTGGGTTTTAAGCAAAAGTAGACGCAGCATGCCTAATGTACCATCCATCATCTACCATTTATCCATCCAACATACACCCATCTGCTATCCACCCATCCACCACCTATCCCTCCATCCCTCCTATCCTCCATCCATCCATTCATCTGACAATTCACTCCCTAATGATACAGCAAGTATTATCACGTGACAGAAATTGTTCCAGACATAGGAAAGCAAGGGCTTGAGGCTGGCATTCAGGGAGGAGGGACCACAATCAAGTGAACAGCTACATAAGTAATAAGGGTGGCTGTAGACCGCCTAACAGACAGCCATGGCTGGCACAGTGCTGCTGAAGTGTGGACTGCAGATGGTCCTGCCACACTCTGTCTCTTGCCAGCCTGTGATGAGACAAACACAGAAACAAGAACCAGTGTGTGGCGAAGGGCCTTCGCTGCAGTGAACATGGGAAGTCCTGGTGACAAAGGCTTAGAGATGGCCTTGATGCCGAGGGAGGAAGAGTGTCCCCTTGCACCAGACTCCAAGCTTAGGTGTCGTGGATAGCAGTGAGCTGGCTGTGGCTATACTTCTAATATACAGTTGGTTTGCAGGAACCTGGAGCAGTTCTGAGGCCTGCTACACCTTTACACCCACCAGGTTGGCCATAAAAAAAAAAAAAGAAAAGGAAACCAAGAAGTGTTGGTGTGTGGTGAGGACGTGGAAGAACCGAAACTCCCACCCAATGATGTGGAAGGCAGCATGTTGGTTCCTCCCACTAACCCCAAGAATAACCATAAGAATAACCTGGCAGCTGTATTTCTGTGTGTGTCCCCAGCACTGACAGCTGGCCTTCAGCCAGGACTTGAATGCAGATGTTCACGGCAGTACAAATCCCAACAGCCAAAAAGTGGGCTTGGCCTGAGCGGCCAGCAAAGGATGAATGGATGACTAGAACGGGCTCTGTGCATGCAGGGCAACACCACTGAGCTGCAGAAAGGAAAAAACAGTGCCATCTGCCACAGCGTGGACCAGTATTGGGAGCACTGAGCTACACAAAATACAGCAGACATATTTCTAGAAAAGTCCCAGAACAGGCAGATCCACAGTGACAAAGCAGACTGGGGGTAGAGAGCGGAGGATGGGGGAGTAGGTGGAAGATTTCCTGCAGGAGGTGACAACATCTCTTAGAACTGTAAGTGCTGGCCTGGCGTGGTAGCCTAGTGGCTAAAGTCCTTGCCTTGCACGTGCTGGGATCGCATATGAGTGCCAGTTCTAATCCTGGCAGCCCTAATTCCCATCTGGCTCCTTGCTGTGGCCTGGGAAAGCTGTCAAGGACAGCCCAAAGCCTCGGGACCCTGCACCTGTGTGGGAGACCTGGAAGAAACTCCTCGCTTCAGTTTAGTTCAGCTCCAGCCGTTGCAGCCACTTGGGGAGTGAATCAGCAAAGGGAAGATCTTCCCCTCTGTATATCTGACTTTCCAATAAAAATAAATAAATCTTAAAAAAATGTTTTAGAAAAAGAACCGTCAGTAGTGATGGCATATCGTGGTGACTGTCCCAAGCTGTATCCTCTGACAGCTCTGGCCCACATGGGAGTATCCCCTCCATTACAGAGGCTTCTCCTGAGAATCCGAGGGTCCCCGCAGTCCCAGTCTGAGCCTGGAGGGTCGGTGTGGCCTCCACTTCCTTGGCACTGCATTGTATCTTCCCTTCCCTCTTTGTTGGAAATCTCTCTGCATTTCGGTACTTTCTCCATTTTTCTGTTGAGGAAGGCTCCCTTGGTGGCCTAATGGGACCAGTTTTCTGTC